AAAAAAAAACTCGTATATCATGAGAAAGAGCATTCATTTTCGAATCTAAACATGCACTTCTCATTATTTTTATGCACCCTGGCTCTGTCTCTGAGAGCTTTAATACGAGCGGGGTAAGATGAAAGGAGGCGCTTAAAGAGTTCGGTGTCATCTTCCACGTCCTTCAACGCCCTAGTGATGTCGCTTTGCAAGGCTTCCCGGGAGAATCCATGCTGCTTGCCCTCCATGTGCATGAGCCTCAATTCGGTCTTTCAGGATAACCCCAATGTTCTCAGCCACATTCAGATCAGGAGAGTTTCCTGGCCATTCCACTTTAAAAAAAAAAGCAATCCCTGAGTCTTTCAGCAATTGCCGTGTGATCAAAGCCTTGAAAAATAGGGCTTCATCAGACAGAAGCTGAACGTTTAATCTTTCTCGAAACCCATGAAAGGGTAACGAATTCAGCTCTGACATCATGAGCTCGAAACGTAATAGCAAGGGTGCGATCATTGAATTTAAGTTTTTTACCATCATATGACATCAGGGGAAAACAAAATTGGATGGAGTAGATTCAAAACTGAACAAGGATTCAAAATATATGTTAAATGTTTTCCTATATTTCCTTAGTTTAGGCTGTGGAGGGGGGGCTATCTATGTGCAACACCTGGTATGTTTGAGCGTTCCTCATAGTCTCCATCTACGCTCGCATAATAATTTTAGGATGAAATTGAATTGGAATCACAATATGTAGCTAAGGCCCTCTCTGCATGAACAGGCTTTTTTCACACGGATAAACATGACAAACGCTGCTCTGGGTGTGAAAATAGCGAAAATAACTCGGAGTACTGCGGCATTCATAATAATAATTAACTAATAATACTATAACTATTATATTTGAAATTCCAGTGAGGAAATGTGGACTCATTGAGGAGGAATGAAATCTGAACACTCTTCCACGCTTCCAACGATTAAATCTACACATTAAAAAATTAACTTTCCCATGGTGATTCCGGATTACTCTGACTTTAAAAAAGCAAAAATAAAAATAATGCGGGAAAATATGAGGTCTAAATCGCCAGGATTCGTGACTGGATGCGTGTCAGCACGTATGTGGAGGAAGTCATGAGGTAGCGCGCGTGGGAGTGAATGAGAATGGGTTGCTTTCTTATTGAGCCAAGAAGCCGGTTCACTTGTGCTCCCGTCGGTTCCATTTCGACTCGCACGCGGGAGGCCTTCTGTCTGCATTGCAGGCCTTTTGTCTCCGTAGTAGGCCTTCTGTCTCCGTCGTAGGTCTTCTGTCCGCGTGGCAGGCCTTGTCTCCGTTGTAGACCTTCTGTCTGCGTGGCACGAGGGATTGTGCCCTGCTTAAGCATTCCCGACTGAAAATCCCTGACATTAACTCTTCCCGATACCTTACCACCTGACATAATATCCCCCCGACATAAGCGAAATGAGAAAGAATATTCCAATATATTAGGTTTATGGATCATCCCAAAACACCGACAAAAAAAAAACCTAGAGTCGATAACACTCAACTGCGTGATTTTTCCGATTCCTCCCATCCTTCTTTCACATACTTATTCATAAGCAGCCGCAGGGGATAGGTGGGCGGCAAGATTTTAATATGAATTCCCGACTGGAAATGCGCATATGAAAAGGAAGCATTGTGTGGCATGTGGGTACGATTAACAGTACTAGTCGGTACATATTATCACCAGTCACCATGGATTTGTGAAGTCACAGTAGGGCGGGTAATTTCTACATCTCTACTCGTCATCGATGAAAATGCATCAAGTGACACTTCTTGGCGATGTGACTTGCAAAGTGTGGAGAGAGAGCCAAAGTGAAAGGCGGGACCGCCGCAGTCGAGATGCTTGGATTCGTCCAACCAAGGTTCAAATCGTGAAACGAAAATCACTGCTGAAAAGACTGCATCTGACTGTGTTGAACCTTCGAGAACCATTCCGGAAACATCCATCTTTCGGGTAAGAAGGCTAACCTTTGCCTCGCAGTTGTCTCGAATGAGCAAAAACCTTCAACGCAATGAGTTTAATCTGAGACCCAACTGCTGGCCCGAGCCAATCATCACCCCTTGAATGAAAAAAGCAAATAACCACTTTGTAGAAGAAACTTGAAATTAAAATTTCTCGAAATTTATGATGCTCCGTTAATAGGATTCCTCAGCTTTCCTTTCTCACTCACCAATGGGTCAATAGGCCAAAAAAAAAAAATCTTAGCATTGCTTTGATTAGTCATTGCACTGGCCACATTTCATCAAGTACCAATCCCTTCAAAGGACAATGGAAAGAACTCGGGAAGCTGCTGGAATGCCAAACGCAAATCCTCGAGCCTTGAATGAAATATCCATCCCTGATGCACTCAGAATGAGTCACAAGGGACACAATTTTCTTCGTTACGACAGCGGGGAGGAGGATGTCAGCAGAATGTTGATTTTCTCCACTCATGAAAGCATCAATGTCATGTCCGCATGGGACCTTTTTCAATTGCATTCCCAATAGCTCTCAACAATTCATGTTGTAAAGTTAGGAGAGAATTTTCCTATGGTGTTTGCATTTCTCACAGCCAATTCCGTACGAAATTATGAACTCCGCAAGAGCAAATCCACCAGAAATCACGCTTTTTGATTTTGAGATTGTTTCACATAATGTTGCTCGGAGCGTCTTCCCTGGCAATTCAATAACCCAGGAGCTAGGACTAATTCAGTCTTATATCTTTGCCTTAGATGCAGGACTCTCCTTGCCCTTGTCTTCGTGCCTGTGACTGACGTCATCACTAATTTCGTGATGTCGCCCCAGACCAATCTAAGCAGTTACGCAACTGCTGGGAAGACGCGGATATTGGGAAACAGAGAGGAACGAGAAGAGCTTCCTCTCCTCCTCCTTTTCTAATCCCTGTCTGGAATGTTCTTGTTAGACTGAATCTGTCCAGGACAAATCATCACCTCGAAGTTTGGCATCGCGCCCTTGAAATAACAGTAGGTGCCCATCACCTAAATATTCATAAGGTGGTTGAGGCGCTAAGAAAAGAGCAGGCAAAAATAGAGGCACGTATGCGGTAATTGCAAGTGAGTCGTACCTGGCCCAACCAAGAAGCACGTACGTATCAATGATCGGTGTGAAGGCTATAGCTTGTGATTACAGCAGCCGGACGGTAGAAGACTACCCAGCATGCAATAGCTGTGAACCTCGGGGGATTCGCTGTGAATTCAGATCTAATTTGACGTGCCGTATCTTACCTGCTTTTTCATATCCTTCGATATTTGATCATTTTGTATATTTTTAACGTGGACTGTTTTTCTTTGTCAATGAAATGTCTCTGGATAATTTTTTTTTGAAGGGGAAAAGAGACATCAATTAAATGTTACACCGGCTAATTTCTGTGTTTCGTCTTGAGATATTCTGTCGGCCACACTTCTGTCTCACCAAATCAAGCAATATCCATGGAATGCATGCAGTGGATGAAGAAAATAATTTTATATGCAAGAAATGGTGAAACTTCCAGTATTTAGTTTAACCCTTTCGGTACTTCGAACATAACAGTTACGTTAAGGATGTACTGAACCGGACAATGCTTACTTGTCCGAGAATAACACGTGCTGAAGCGCTACTGAGGTAAGTAAAACTTACAGGAGTTCATTATTCCAGTTACTACAAGAATAGAGAGCTAATTTTTACTTTTACGCATACCGCTTGCTATCGCAAACAAAAAACTCCAGCCGGGAAGGATAGCGCAATAATTAAACTCTCTACCGAGAGGGTTAAAGGCTGGAAAAACGAGGAAAAGGTCAAGGAAACGCTGGACGCAACGGCATTCGGTCGAGTAAGCCTCATATTCCTTATAAGATTTTTTTCTGCAATCGCCAGCACAAGTAGTAGGATTTCATCGCGGAACATCCGCTGAAAAGTCAGTATTTTGTTAAAGTGAGTCCATGTTTTCCCCAAACGCTTAAATAAGATCGGCCAGATTTTATCTAATAATGTCCCCTTCTGTCTGAATGTCTGGATTCATCCTTGCCTTATACCTTACCTAGCATTATCAGGAAACCACAAAATATGATAAATGTGTCAGTCTCTGAATGAGATATTTCCCGATTGGGAAAAGGTTTTCGAGTTTTCCACGTCCTCGTGTCCCATCAGAAAACTCACGTATGACATGGAAAGTCTGCATCACAGGATTGCGGAAGGAAGGGGGCCAAACCAAAAAAGGGGGGTTATGAGATGATGGGTAAGGTTCCCCGATGGGAAATGATGCTTTCTTGTTTCTGTGATGAGAGAGTCGTCTGACTCCGAAGAAGCCAAGATCCAGGCCCTTCCTTGGCAATTTCACACGACATTAGGAGCCTAATAGCTATGCACCCCGCTAAGCCCCGACGTTTCACTCTTCAACCTCACTGATAACTTCCTGTCCATTTCCCCTTACTCTTTCTCTTTCCTTCCATCCCCCCTCTTCCCCCTTCTCCAAGGGGACCTTAATAAGCTCTTTACGCTTCAGTCAAGACGGGAGAGATCCCGAACCATAAAAAATCGTAAGTGATCTGTCGCACAGGAAAAGGCGTACGAATTTGGGGTTATAATATAGGACCCCATTCCTCTTCTCTTTTTTTTTCTTCAAAGTTCCTCAGCTCGTGTCTGGCATTTGAAATTACGTGCCCCTTCATCGTTATCACTCCTTCATTCGAGACCGTAATGACGTCTTCCGTGCGAATCGTCCGTGTGAACGCCCCCAACTTCTACGGAACAGTGGGCGACCGTTTAACACCGACAATACCTGAGAGAGATACGATGATACCTTGTTGATTGGAGACCGAAAGCCATTGGACGCACAGGATGAGACAGGTGAACCACTCCGACGGAATTGCCATACCGTCCGTGTCCGCTTATTGTGGTTGCCCACGGATTTCCACGTCGTCCCAGGGAGATTCGAGAGGAGACGGCGTCGTCGGCATCATCAACTGGTAATTCCCACTCGGACTCACATGCGCCTCATCGCTGTCGCAAACTCGGTATGAGTCTCGGCATCGAGTGTACAGTACATGAAGTCGATCGCTTAGGCCAAGAGGCCTATCTCCACTAAACTGATTCGGACGCACTCACCCTACCCCACTTTTCCTCCTGACTCTAGACTCGAAAAAGCCCCCTCCATGACGTATGCAGCTTCCTTCGCTCTCATTGGTCCCTCGAGCCGCTCTCCTCCTCCACCTCCACGCTCACTCCATCTTCACTACGGACCGATC